AATAATTCAATTGAAAATACATCAAAATCAAATACAGAATGGATTTTGCCTGCAAGCAGCACACAGCTCATTCCATATTCTAAATTTTGCCCACAAAGGAAACTAGCAACCATTATATTCTATAGCCATGACAACAGTCATACTGTTCTTTTTGATTTATTAATTTACCTGATTAGGTTAAAATGTGCTAGAAGTTAATCCCTGCTGTAACTGAGCACCAGATCTTCCCCATCCCATTGCTCAGATAGCCAAAGTTTTAAGACAATAATACCAGGTGCATAGATTTCTCATCTGTAAGATAAATAAGTAAGAACATGTGAATTCTGAATTCATGTTTTATGGTGTTGAAAAGTTGCTGCTTTAGACATTACTGAATTATTTAATAACAATTACTATACATTAGTATCTTCTCAGAAGACTTTTAAAACTTCCAAGAAAAGTTTGGTTATGGCAAAAGAAACCCAGGAAAAAGAACAACTCTTCACCGACTAAAATAACCTGTGGCATTTGACCTTCACTTGAACAGTAAATCTTCAGACATTTAGGAAATTCAAGGCCATTTTAAGGTGTAGTTCTGTCTAAAACAGAATCTGAAATACAGCTGATGAATGGCACTCTGGTGGTGTTTATTTCTCCTCTTAGACTATAAAAGGACAACTGCTGGTGACTTTGACAGTAAACTTTAGAACTCTACAGTGAGTTTAACCACACCGAAGAAAATTCACTCTTTTACTGATGAGACACACAATCATGGCTGTGCCATGATTTTTTTCATCCTTTTTGGTTAAACAGCCTAGACTTAAAATGCTGAGACATGAAATGAGACCAGCAGCCAGATAATCCAACCTCCATTTTACACATTCCAGGTAATATAACACTGGCAACAGGAAAAGATAGGGTTAAAGTGGAGCAATAGAGTTGCTCTGTATTCCTCCTTAGTATTGTTTTCGAGATTTATGGGACCACGCAAAGAGCAAAATATATGAAACATCTTATTAACTAGTAATGGAAGCATTCACTTGAAAAGGGAACTGTTGTCTGTTCCAGGTAGAGTTTAAACATTTATATTAAATATTCACTGTATAAAATCCTAACAGACATTTCAGTAAGCTGTCTGCCATAAGATGCTGATTCATTATAGCCTTTAATGTTAAATTTAATTTTTTGTGGTAGTTTTTCTTGAACATCTGTATTTTTCCAGAGTTTTTTTTTAAAATCTGGACTTCATCATTATGAAGTTTCCTAACATATGTCTCAGAACACTGGCTTTCATTATAAAGTACCATTCTTTGTCACAAGTTACACAGGAAATATGCATCTTCCTAATTAATCCCAATCCAAAGTTTCCACTTTCTCTTATCACCTTCTAACTCCTGCAGCATCATTAAGTGTACCATAGACCACCTGATCCCTCTTAGCCTTCCCATAAAAAAACTGCCCTTTCTCTGATTCATCACTGCCAGAATTCCTTCAGTGTTGCTAATTTATGCATATGCCATTTGGCACTCAGCAAGACCTATCAGAATTTCCAATTTATTGGATGCCCTCTATTCTTCACTTGGCTCCCTCTCCTCAAATAATAACATATTCTCCTTTATTATCTTACAGCCACAACGCAGAACATACTGACAAGAGCTTATGAAAAAATCAAAAGAAAGAGAGGAAATTGGATAAAGAACCTTGTTGTGTTGCGTACTAATCTGCTACTTTTCATCTCTCCTCCCAGACCTCCTATCCTGTTCAGTCAAGTTTCTTATGCCTGTGTTCTCTGTTTTATCGCTCTGGCTTACCTCCTTACTTTAATAATTGTGTGCATTTTCAGTGTATTTTCCTCAAATAATACACTATTTTCAGTTTTCAGATGGACATGGATAAAAGGCTAGTTTAAATATATGAAGCTCTTGATGTTGTCTTCCAAGCCAGGAACATGTGTACTCCAGGTAAGCATATGCTCTCTAAGCTTTCACACCTGCCAAAGGCTTATTTACCAGCAGTACATTTTGCATCTTTCTTATACATTAACATGTGATCTCAGTTGTGGCAATACCAGCTGAGGGAATGTCTTTTACTATCCCTGGCAGAGATACAATCACCAGGGTCAGCGATTTCTTATGTCCTGGTAAAACATACACTTGTGTTCACAAACAGGACTTTATTATTAGAGACAAAGGCTAACCATCTCATGATCTATTTTTAAGATAAGCTGCCATAAGCAGCCCTTCATGTGGAAGGAAGTCCATGAATAATGGCTTGTCATCTGAGCAGGAGCCAATAGTTATGTACTCAGGAATGACCTTAGCATGTTAATCCATTTTCAAGTAAAGCTGAACAGTCACCTATCTGGGCTGCCTCCAAGGCTGACCCATTTAATTTTCTACCTGGGAGACATATCCACGTTCTGCCTTCTCTTCCAGACCAAAGTGAATAGTTACTTGCCTGGGAGGCACTGTACCAAGTTTGATGAATTACCTCACAGGCTGACCCAAACCTATTCCTGTCTGGAAGGCACTGTCTTTCTATTGACCTAATTATTAAGCAGACTGTAACAGTTACATATCCTAAGATATGTAATGTAAATTATATCTAAAACTGACTGTCTCTAGCTTTAGATTAATAATTTATATTTAAAGTCATCCTGATTTTCAAAAGTAGCAGTAACTTTTCCTTCTGAAAAATATTGGAACTTTCACTCAACTCCTGTAAATATTTTTTTTTAATTGATACATTTTCTGATCTTTTTATTTCAAAATATAAAAGAACAGGAATCTATATTTCAGGTTTTCAAGGTCACTCTGAAGCTTTATTTATGATCTTAAATTCCATTGCAAGCTTCATTTAAAAGGTGTTGTAAATGCAAAATAGTAGAGGTAGTATTTCTGAAATCTGCTCTGAAGTTCACAAAACTTAAAAAATGAGCCATGCACATGACATCTAAGATGTATAGGTGAGCATTATCAATGACAATGGAGTCAATTCACACAGGTGAATTTGATAGTGGATGAGTGATAAGATTTAATAACAAATTATATGTTAAAAAAAAGACAGGTAAAGAATTTTCTTGGTAATAAGACTAAAGGAAAAATAGACAATATAAATAAAACTGAAACTGGAAAAATCATGAGCTGAGGAACTTTCAGCAATTATAAATTAGCATCAAAATGTTAAAATAACTTACTTAAGTAATGTTATTTCCACCATTATCACAGTAAGATAAATATGTTTTTTCTGTGCAATTTTTCAGAAGAAAAAACAGCAGAGAAAACACAGCAAGAAATACATTGCTAAAATCAACTTCTACATTATTGATAAAGCATTATTTAAATTGCAGTGAAGACCCCAGCTTCACTTCAAATCCTCCCAAGACAAAAAGGAAAATTTTCTCCTATGGACATATATGCACTTCTCTGTTTTTGCAGATCTGTGTCAGAGCAATTGGTCAAGCAAACTAAAAAGTCCAGAATAATGTAGTCCAACCAATTAAAACGTGTACTGCTATTTTTTAATGTCTTTTAGACTCATCTGACCTTTTCCTTGCAATATTCAGAGATATCTTCTTAACTATTTTCTTCCAGCTTTTATTTAGAAAGTGTATGCTTTTGAAATAAGTGTTTAAGTGATATGATTTCCTGATGTGATGAATCGGACATAAGAACTTGTACATGTACAGTAGGAAGTGTTGTAGAGGGATTTAGAAACACGATAACGTGGCCAACCTTCTAAGTAAATAATTCATTTTCAAGGTTATGGCTGTGCATAGCATTACAGAGAACAACAGAGAGATCAGAGAATGCCTCTGAATACAACAAATAAAAGAGAGGAGGCCCCAAGTCACACAAGACTGTCTCTGACAGAGCTGTAGGCTGTTTGTCTGAGATCCATAAATAAGATACATTCTGCAGTATGGACAGTCTCAAGGAAAACTGCTCCATCCTCTTTCAGCAAATTGTGGATTGGTTTGAAGAGTGCTCAGTAATCATTGTGACAGAAATTAGGGGCAATATCTGTCCAAATAATTGACTTCTTTGCCTTGGCTGACAACCAGATTTCTCCTTTTTTTATTTTATTTATTTATTTATTTTTTTGACATTCTAACCCTTCCAAATCTAAAGGCTTTTTGTCCCATCATGTGAATCTGAGTGAAAATGTTATGGTGTTTTCTACTACCTCTTTGTGCTATCTCAAACAGTGTAAATAGATCAAGGCTTTGAATAAAAATTAATATTCTTTTTCAGTCATTCCCATATTGAAAGAGGCAGGGACACCCTACCTCCCTGGTTAAAGTAAAAATTAAGGTATTTCACATATTGTGAATAGTGTTTTATTCTTACTATTACTGCCAGTGCTGTTATCACTAGAATTCTTTGTTAAACTGTGCCAGTGATTTTATAAACTTCCAAAATATCAAATGAAACACATCAAACAGTTTTCCCAGTCAAATACACTTAGTTAAAAGGCAAACCAGCTAGACTCTTCTGCTGTTAACAAAGTTTATGAGGAAATAAAAATTTAAAAAAAAAATAATAAAAAAGGAGCATAATGTCCAGTCTGCTGTGTCTATGAAATCAAATGTCTAAAGATGGAGATCTCCATTTTCTAATGAACGGAACTGCTGAATAATTAGAATTTCCGACCCACAAAATTCTTTATATTTAACAGGCATCATTTTACTTTGAGTCAGCATATATATCTGAAAATGTAGCTGTTCCCCTGGAAGGGAAATTTTCAGAAGTAATTAAGTTACTTATCCTATTCCCCCATTCTTCTACTGTGGAACACAGATCAGAAGGGGTTTTCTCTTTTTATTTTTCTTTTTTTTCTTTTTAAGCATAGGAAGACATAAAAATATTTTAAAATAATTCAATATATCAGAGTTCAGACCTTCAGAAAACACTTTTAGATTTGAAAGAATATTCCATACATTAAACTCACTCTTACTGCTTAAATTAATGCTCTTATTTACTGTATTCCATGGATCTCATGCTCTCATTCTTTTAAGTCTTTCAGGGGAAAAATGTCAGAGAGGATCTTGTTTTTTGAATATTGAAAAGGTGAGTTCTGTAATTTTTCACATATATTTGTGTTTAAAAATATTTTCAGGATATTTTTTATACTAAATTAAAGAAATAACATAAATGCATGAGGAAAATGGCGGGATAAAGAAAAAAAAAAAACCCTGAAAGCTCAAGTCAACTTGAAAGATCCGTGTTAAAAATGTGCTTCTTTTAAGATGTGGCTAAAAATCAAACACCCTGGAGAATTAAAAAAAAATAATACCTACTTCAACTTGTGCTTAAAAGCCCTAAGGGCTCTACTTGCAATGTGTCACCTTATCACTCATTTTTGAAGTGCTTTACTGCTTAATCATGTAATACTCATATCTTGAACAATATCTGAGGGAATAAAGAACCTCTGTCTTCTTCAAATCTCACTAGAGCATTGTGATAGAATAAAAGGTTTGGTCAATATGCTTTTGCTTTTTTACTCCTTGATAAATTTTGTAAAACTTGCTGCAAAATTCTGAAAGTGGTACTTAGAAAACTCTCCTCCACTAAGATTTTTCTCACCCCACTTTTAAACATGATCCACAATTTGATCAAATGCTCTTGGGCACTATTAAATAGTAATAATGAACTTCACCTAAAGCCCTTAGTAATTTTGTTCCACATTTCCTTCTCTAATTATCCACTATTCCCTATTTATTATTGCTTCATTCCCTGCCTTGAGGCCTTCTAAAAATACTAAGAATGATAAATTAAACAATACATTTTGGCACCAAGTTAACCAGTGGGGAGGGTTGTAATTTAATGGGATGTCTTCTGAATTAATTATTTTTGAATTATTTAATTGCAGCTTCTAAACAAAATTTCTTACTCAAAGTGTTAACACTGAAAGCCAAATTATCTTCTTAATATTCTTTAGCAAAATTAAAAGCCAAATATTAAAAACCATACAGGTTTAAATTAAATTCACAGGGTGTCTTTTCACAAATCAATACAAGCATTCTATTTCCTTTTATATTTATATTTTCAGTAATCAGCAGTGACTCCCTCCCCAGAGTCATAACAGTATTTTTCAAGGTAATCTCACAAGTGTAATCACTAGGCAAAGGCCACGCTGGAGTCAATGTTTTTTTTACCCATCTTTATTTCTAAGTGAAAGCAGTCATTGACTTTTATATGCCATACTTATATTTTTCATTTAGAATCAAATTTAAATAAAGGTATGATTTTATTTTGAATATTAGAACTCCCTGTTCACTTTCTGATTTTACAGCTTTGTTATTAATTTCTGATATCATTTCACTCGTCCTTCCTTTATACAATAAATATTTTTAATTATTTTGAGAAATATGACATTTGGAAGAATGCTAAGTAGATGGTAGCATTTGTGTGTGTGATCTAAAAAAATTTACACAGATTAATACATATAAATATTTTGCTGAGACGCAGCAAAGAAAATTTGTCAGTATCTAGATGCATGCCCTACACACACTTTTCTGCATTGATACTGAAAATTCTTATTTGGGAAATAATTAAGCATGCTATGCAGCTTGTCACTTCCTTGGGATTGACAAAAGGAAATCAGGTCGTGTGATCCATTTAGCATGGTGCCCTACATTTTCCAGGACTGTGTTCTTTCCTAAATAAAGGAAGGCCATGTAATTGTTGTACTTATTAGGCATGAAGGAATCTCAGTTTTATTCCTCACCCCTACTAATTATTTTCCTCTGATTCAACATAAAATCTTCAATACCATTGTGTACAGAGTTTCCATGGATACACTCTTCTATTTCAGTCTTGTTAGTTTTCTTGCTATTTTTGGTGCAATGGCTATAAAGTGCCAGAGTGATACTCCAGTATTTATCATCCTATCAAAAACTGGTGCAGAGGAAAAAAAGAAAACATTCCAGTCACTCAGAAATTCCAGGTCAGTTTAGTGTAACTTTATTAATTCCTCAGTAGCCACAACAGAAAGAATATACTCTTTTCACCCTGAGCTTTGCTGAGCTTTTGTTGACGTATTTTTTTAATACCCATTAAGCAGGATTGTTCCTTCAAATCCATCTTACATCTATTTCTGTTTCTCCATTCTGGCCTTGGGCATATAATCAGACTCATCTAGGTTCACTTTAAGATATTAACTATTTTCAAACTAAGAAGGCATAATTTGTGGAATATATTTGATGAGGGAACAAAAAAAGCACCAAAAAAGTACAGAAGATCGTATGAGCTAAAATTCAGCATCTTACCATTTTATTTATGTCCTTACCCTTCTCACACCCATATTTTTTCCCTTTTTAATTTACCAGGATCCTCTAGGACACATTGCTTCCAGTCACTCACTCGTGTACTGGACGTGAGGCAGAGAAATCCTCTGACCCAGCTTTTGTCACGTAATATGCCACTTTTCTAACTCATGACCAAGCTGTGAGCAGTGGTGTCTGTAGCAGCTGTCTTCCTGGCACAAGAAAAAGATGATGATAAAGTGACATGAGCTATACTTGCCTGGAGGATCCCAAGCTGTAAGGCAAGGCAGCAAATTGAAGTATCTGAATCTTCAGTATCCTAGAATTTTTCCTTGTATTATCTGAAACATGGTAAGAGTCTGTGGGCCAGTTTTCCTTACTTTTCTGGAAATTCTGCTCTAGCCTACTCTGAATTGCTGTCTGAATCTCTTAGAGGAATTTGGGTTCAAGAAGGACAGTCAAAAGTCTAACAATCTTCTGCTGCTAGAAAAACATCCGGGTATTTGTTCTGCTCCTTGGTGCAAGACCTCAACATTACACATTGTTTAGTCTTGGGGCTAAGATGAGAAGTGTGATAGATTGTGTAGGTGTTTAGGGTACAAAGACTAAGTGTTCCATGATTGCTGGATAGGCAGCAGTGAAGAAGACTAGATATTTATATTACCTCAGTTTCTGATTTTAACAGCAACGGGCAATGTCTGTGTCCCATTGGAAGAGTAGAACAGAGGCAGTAAAAGGAGTAGAGCAACCTGTGATCTTCTGGCACATGATGAGGTTAGGAAACTCCTGAGACCAGGGTACTTCTTTGCATCAAGAAAGATCAAAGCCTTAGAAATTATGAAAATAAGGAAATTTTATGAAATACCCAAAGATTACTGTGTCATTTTCTGTGATTCACAGAAGACTGAAGTGGAAGATCTGCCTTGTGAGAGCACAGAAGTATATGTTTATTTTTATTTAATTCAGCTCATAATCACACCTGCACTTTTCTCTGTTTGAAGAATTGTTCTGTTTTAGAATCTTATTTTCTGTTTCAGGCACATCATTGATCTAAATCCTGGAAGCAAATGGGAAGACAGGCTTACTGGAACAATTTCATAAACCAACCATTTGACTGTATTTCTCTGATCTCTGTAAGCCACTTAGAAGCAGTGGGTTGATGAGTATCTCTTCCTTTGTTGTTAAACTTGATCATCCAGGACATAATTAGCAATAAAGATGTTCCAAATTGCGGATCTTCCAAGTCCAGCTGATTAAATTTAGACATAATGACCTCAATCTCTTTAATAAGCCTCCTTAATGTGTCTTCCTTAATTTAAAATCTGGAAGCTGTTAATCACATATGTGTATGATATGTGTAGATGAATGTGCTTTCTTTCAGCAATATCACCTACAATAAAAACAAATATCTTTTTCTCTAAATATGTGGCACATATATGGCAATGAAGTAACTTGCTTGATGAAAGTATGCAGTCATATGTACTGGCAGTGGCATGAAATCTTGATTACAGCCAATAAAAATATCTAATTTTCAGAAGACCAATAAAATTTATCTAAAAACATAAAATTACAAGAATTATATTGGATAAAATTAATATATTAACCAGCTGAGAAAATAAAGTAGAAAAAAGTGCTTTAAACAACAGGAAAAATAAATATATCTTTTTTGTTATTTCACCCTTTTGTATTAGACAAAACTGTGGGAACAATTTCAAAGCATATTTATTCCTTTACTAGTAACCTGGATAAACAAGCATGCACAAGGATGTGTTTATAAGGGAAAAATCCTGTTTTCACAAAATGAGCATGATAATCCCAAAATATTCAGTAAATTATACAAAATCTAAAATGGCCATGTAAGTTTTGAACATGAAAACATAATATGGTTTTAACTAGCTGCACTGGAGAGTCACCATTTGGCAATTACAGATAGCTATGACTGAGTAGTTCTGTTAATTTTGAAAAGATGATTATAATTTTCTTAGTTAATTGTTTTGAAATCATGTCCACGAAAATATTGGGTTATTTTTATTCATTTTACAAACATCATAAAATGTTTTTGTTCAAGCAATCTGTCCTTTTTATTCCAATGGACCTTTTTACAACAGCATGCAGTGATAGGACAATGGGCAATGGCATCAAACTGAAAGAGGGTAAGTTTACATTAGATATTGGGAAAAAGCTCTTTACTGTGAGGGTGGTGAGGCACTGGCACAAGTTTCCCAGAGAAGCTGTGGATGCCCCCTCCACAGAAGTGTTTAAGACCATTCTGGGTAGGGCTCTGAGCAACCTGGTTTAGTGGAAGGTGTCCCTTTGTATGGTATATTCCCTACAATTGAAACTATTTTATTATTATTATTTTTATTAACATTTAATATTAAAGTAACCTGCAGTTCATAAATAGAGAAGTAACATATTCAAAATATTTTCTTTCTTCTGTGAAGTTTCGTGTCTGTAAGTGAAGTAAGTAAAACTACTTTCTCTTCCTTCAATCCATACCATCATGTTTCTGATTAATTATCTAAATAAAAATTTTAACTTGTATTTTGCTTTTTCACATTGATTTAAGAGAATGCATATGTATTTGTTTTTGCTAATGTCCTAAAATGTCAAATGAGTTAATACAAGTAAAATAAATATGTGGGATTTTTCTTTAATAGAAGAGGATATAAAGGAACTGACATTCATCGTTGAGTTTTGAAATAAAGAACAGAGTGGTTCTAGTATAATCCATATTCACAAATCTTTCTTGCAGTGAGCACCTGATTTTACTAGTAGCTCTATCAGAGCAAATTTGATTTTTTTTTCTTTAATTTCATTCCAAGGTTCATGAGTAGAAGCCTGTTACATTTTCTTTTCTATTTCTGCATTTTTCATTATCCCACTGTCATGTACCTGACATCCTGAAGCAAACGTACAGAGTGACCTATTCTATGCACAGTTATTCAGAGATAAGTACTCTAGTTATTTCAGGTGAATGCAAAAACAGAAGTATCATTTTGAGCCTCCGTGTTAATATTTCAACTGAAATATAACAATTACTTAATGTATATTCTTTACTGAGCTTCATATTTCTTTTATACAAAATTGGTATTAAAGTCCTTGGATCATTTAAAATGTCTCTATGTTATGCTCATAAAAAAAGTTTAAGTTTATAAAAATGTTAAAAACACTGGGAGTAATTAGGTAGATTTTAATTTTTTTTTTTTTTGTGTACTGGTAAAAGATAAGTTAGTTGGATACTTTTTCAGAATACATAATATAATCAGTTTTGACTTAAGTGTCATATGAGCTAAAATAGATGCTTATAGACAAGTACTTGCAAATATTTCTTTCACTGAGATCTTTCATACATTCTCTGCCTTTTCTGCCTTGACAGAGCGATAGAAGAATTCTCCTAAAAATGCCTGTTATTCCAGAAAGGTAAAATCTGCACGCTTACAAAATGCTGGTATGTACATAATTACCCAGGAGTTCTTAAGCAAGAACATGCATTTCAGACCCAAAAAGTACATATATGTGAAGCAATTCTAACATGTCTGCTTAGTTAATCCCACAGTCCAGACTTGCTGTAGACTTTAGGTGGGGGACAAAAGAAAGCATACTGAAAATGAGTTTGGTTCCTACACAGCAGGTTCTGCAAAAAGTAGTAGATATCATGCTCGCTACAGAATATTTCTATTTCATATATTTACATTTCATTGAGTATTTGTGTTAATTAAAATCAAATTCTGTAACCTGATTTTTTTGAAGAACCCCTGGTACTTTTTATGAATTAATAGTAAGAAAGATGTGAAGTTATAAAACTGAATCAAAATTCCAAATGCTTGGAAGTATTCTTCTTAGGAATATATTTCCTCTTAGATCACCTTGCAGATCAGGGGGAAAAGATCAAATTTGTTTTCTATCTGTACTTTTTAGCTGGTAAGATGACTCCTTAAGGTATCAGGAAGCTCTGACTTTTCTTAAAGCCTAGAAAGCATGAGCTTTTCACAGCACTGGTATCTCCAGCTCAGATCAACAGCAGCCAACCTTATCAAAACCCTGAGCCCAGAGCTGGAGAGCAGGTTGGTGCAGCAGGAATAGTGCTGAAGGCCTCACTACCAGAAGAGTTAGCATATTTTGACTTTTTCATTATTGCTGAAAATCTTAATAGCTCTCTGCTCCTCAGATTGCCCTAGAGACACCTCTTTTCTATCTGAACTTGTACCAGGATTACCCTCTGGTGTTTCCTTCAGGCTTTGTACTGTGACATGTAAGGCAGTTGAGGTGTAGGGAAAAAGCAAAGTTAAATTGTTTCTTTGCCCTCCTTTCTGCCATAAGGACCTTGGGAAGTCATAGCTGGTCTCTGAAGTTTAATTTCTTCATCAGTAAATTGGAATGAGCTCCAGTTCTTTCTTGGCAAAGAGTTTTTTGTTCCCTGGCTGAAAAAGAAGCAACAGACACTAATTAGGTATTATGGAAATATTAAAGCGCTTAATAGCAAGCACTCTTAGGTGTACTAGGTAGAGAGTTTTCTTGTACATATTTGCAAAAAAGGTATAGTGTTATGATTTCTTGAATCACCAAGTGAACCTGCTATTGACATGTTTCTAACTTCATTGTATGATTTGAAAGCATTTTTTTCCCTTTAGTGCTTTTATCTTGAGGGAGACAGAGAAAAAAAGCAATAGAGTAAGATTGATTGTAAATCACTGATTACTCAGACTCAGATTTCTTGCAGGGCTCTGCTTTGGAGAAGACCACAGTGGTATTGTTTTATTATCTCTCCGTTCAAAATAACATGCTATGAATACTAATGTTAAGAGGAAACAATGAGCAAGAGATGGGGTGCAGGTATATAATAGCCAAAAATAGAATGTGGTTGTCAGCTGTTATTTCCATCTTTTATAGAATAACTAGGTCTAATCTATAAGCTATTAATTTTGTTTAAAATGGTGTACATTCACAATGCGGTGCATTGATTCCAATTTTCTGAGCTGCTGCTAAACTAGATCATTTTTTTCAGTAGGCATATATAGTGTCTTGAAACTAGAAAATTCTTAAGTTCCCTTTTAGAAGATACTTAAACAACAATGCAGAAACATTATACTTAAAAAATTCCTAAAACACCCTCAAAAAACCCCCCAAACTTTTAGCATATGTCACATAACAATAGTCATGGGCTAGCTGGCTATGTGGCAGGATAAGATATATTATCATAAAAATTAGGCAGCAAAACAAAGTATTATATAAACAATTATTTTAATAACATAAAATGAAATTAACTTAATCATATTTTAACAAATATATAAAAAAAACAAAACCAAAGGAAAGCAAAATATTCTACTATGAACATAAAGTACTATAGATTGGACAGTCATCTGATCTCATCTCCTGCCATGTTGGGCGAGGGTGCTAAGACCTTCAACAGCTGAGTTTTCAATACCTCCAAAAAGCAAGATTCTCTAACCTCTTTGGAGAACCTCTTCCAGTGTTTGACTGTCCTCACTGTGAATTTGTATATACAATTTCCATTATGGCAGCTGCCAACTGCCATATTCTGTAAACTTTTTACTTTGCAGCTTGAACAATACTCTGGCACTCTCTCTAACAAGTAAAAGGTAGCTGAATGTAGCAAACAAGTTGTCTTTCAACATTCTCTTTTCCATACTGAAGAAACCAAACTTCCTCAGCCTTTTTTTACTTCGTATGATCCTCCTGCCTCTTCATTGTTCAGTTTTTTTAATCTTTGTCCCAAAGCCCCAAACTAGGAACATTTCTTCAAGTGCAGCCTCAGAAATGCCTCACAGGGGAACACAGTTGCTTCCAGTTGTCTGCTGGCTATGTTTGTCCTAATACAGAGCAGTAAAACTTTAGCCTTCACTAAAAGAGATTGCTAATGCACGCTCAACTAGTGGACAGATAGGCCCACCAGATCCACTCAAACAAAATTACTCCTCATCCAGTTAGCATCCAGACACAGTCTTATTGCATCCCAAGCACAGCAGTTTTGTTTCTGTAGGATGAATTTCATTATGTTTCTGCCAACCCATTTATCCAGCTGCTGGAATTCTCTCTGAATGTGTATAAACTACCTCCCAAACCTGCTTTCTTCTGCAAACTCGCTAAGCCCTTGTTGTGGATGGAGTGACATACATCACTTGTAAGAGAGGAACAGTGGTATGTGTATCGATACAGAACAGCAATTTAACTAAGCTTGATAGTAAATGCAACAGTGATTCAACAAGATTCAATGGCAAGACATTAATTTACTGCATAGAGTCAGATAAAACCCTCAAGAAAACATTCCTGATGAGGCATGAGATTCAAAAAAGACCACTTCGAGTTCTAAACTCCTTTCTGAGAGAAGCTTAGGTGTGGCTGGATCCACACAGATGAGACAATATTGATCACCAGGCTTGGTCAGTGGTTTATGCCTAAATGACCTCATGTGCACAAGCAATCTTTTCTATCACTCAGCTAAGATTTCGGTTTGAGTGCACTTACCCCAGTTTGGTTACCAAGCGTCTGATGAGATAAGGATTCCCTC